AGGGAGGAAGGGAGGAAGGGAGGAAGGGAGGAAGGGAGGAAGGGAGGAAGGAAGGAAGGCTTAGCTATAAGGGATAACAAAAGATAACAGGTTATAATAAGAACAAGAGACTACCATTAAGCTGAGGTTGTCATTTGTTTGACTAGCAATCACAAGACCCTGGATTTGAGCACCATCTCCCAAAAGTATTTTCTGTGGGAGCTTTGTAAATTTGATGTTGGGTCTGTTTGCTTGGAAAACTTTTTGTTGTTGTTGCTGAGGTGTGTTTTTTTTATATGCAGCAGAAGGGGATGGATCCTGTTTACTATCCAGTCTGTTAGCCTGTGTCTTTTAATTGGGGAATTGAGTCCATTGATGTTAAGAGATATTAATGACCAATGATTGTTGATTCCTGTTATTTTGTTGTTCCTGGTGGTGGTAGTGTGTGTTTCCCTTCTTTATATGTATTTTTTCCCTATAGTTTTCTTAGTTTGTCACTTATCCCACAGTTATTTTTTGTTTATGCCATCTAAGAAGTTACTTCATATTTTTTGAAATCACTTTGTTCTTGCTAGGTTAAGTGCTCTACAGCTGAGGTGCTTTATTACTATTTTATACTGTTTCCACTCTTTTCAGTGCTGGAAGTTGAACCCGTTTTACAAAATAATGTTTCCTGTATAGAGTAGATTAAAACATTAAATGAGAATGCATCTGATAAAACCTTGAGTCTGAAGCACTATGTGCATGCTAATCCCACCTCCTCATACTCCCGCTGCCATCTTTTTTTTTAGGGTTGCCAAAAACTCTGCTTTATTTATTTTTTTTCGTGTAACAGATTTTTTTTTCTTTTTTTTTAATTTCTTTTTTTTTTTTTGAACATGAAATGCTTTTTTATAGCATGTTTTACAAGGGGAGGGGGTAAGAGGGGCCAGGTGGTGGAAAAGTACAAAATCTTCTTGGCCTGTGATAGGCTAGCTTCTTAAGTACTTAGATTTCAGGTGTGAGCCATGACATCTTGCTTTTTGTTCTTTTCTCCCTAAAGTAGTTGAATGTAATCATTGTGACATGAAATAGAATCTTGAACTGACCCTGGTAGACCTTCGAGCAGCTTTGGCTTTTGACTGACAGTTGAGCCAATGGAGGTCACTGAGGTTGCCTCAGGTGGGGCACATGGACAGGCTTTTTTGTAGATTTTTCCATGTCGTAATAGAAATTTCCTTCTTCAAAGACAGGGAATGTTTATTTTCTATTATATTGTATGTAGAATCTTGTTTATCTAATTAGCTTAATTGATGCTAGTTAACAGGGTCACCATAATAGAATGATGCCAGAGTTTAAGCTAGCAGGAATCTTTTTAAATTAGATAGACTGAAATCATGCCATAAATTATACTTTATTCTGATAGCTTTGTTTAACCATTTTGTTTTTGTTTCCAGTGTACGATTTTACTTGGTACGACCTTAATGTGACATGCTGTCTTCACATCTTAGGAAGACTGCATTTAGAAGGTCTTCTGTGAGCTTCTTTTAATAGTACATTTCTCCTTTCTCATGTAACCCTTATTCAGCTATGTGATGCCTACTCTCTACCCAGCTTTTCTGACTACGTTTTATACTAAAGGACTGCAGTATGCCATCACCTCTGCTGCTGTCAATGAACTTGTTCCACTGCTTGACACTGAAAATGTATTGTGAAGGGATCAGAATTATTTTGAAATTGCTATTTTCATATGAAAAGTTATTTCATACGAGTCTTTACATTAAATAAGTTATGGGAAGAAAAAAAGATACAGGTTTAGTTTTTCAAATATATCTTATCAACTGTAGTGTTAAAGGAAGTTGGGTATACTTTTTATATTTCTGTTTATCCTGTGGTGTCCTAGTTATGGTTAATATTACTGTAATGAAACATCATGATCAAAATCAAGTTGCAGAGGAAGGGGTTTATTAGGCTTACACTTCCTTATCTCTGATCATCAAATGCAGTCAGGAACATAAACAGTGCAGGTACCCAGAAGCAGGAGCTGATGCAGAAGCCATGGATGGGTGCCGCTTACTGGCTTACTCACTGTGGCTTGCTTGGCCTGCTTTCTTATAGAACCCAGGACCACCAGCCCAGGGATGGCACCACCCACAATGGGCTGGACCCTCCTCCATCAATCACTAATTAAGAAAATACCCTACAGTCAGATCTTGTAGAGGCATTTTTTTCAACTGAGGTTCCCACTTTTCAGGTAATAGTGTATTTCAAGTTGACATAAAACTAGCCATCAGAAGCAGATACTATAGTTTCCATGTGCTATAAAAATATTTGAACATAATTTGCTTTCTGAAGTCTTTTTTTGCATCTATCTTCTAACATTTAGGTGAAAAATGATAATTATAGTAGATTAAAGATCTGTTTGTTGAAGTTGGAAGTATACTTTAGTGTTATAGCACTTGTGTAACATGTATGAGGCTCTGAATACCAACTGCACACACACCCCTACAGACATACACCTTTTTAGCACTGTTAGGAGATGCTTTTATAGTATTTTTATGAGTAAACATAACATTTTGTATGATATTCAGAAGGAAAATAAAAGATGTACCTTATAGAAACTATGTTACACTAGGTTTGGAAAATTTTCTCAATTTTGATAACATGAAAGGTATCAATTTGAATCTACATCATGTTTGTTTATTTGTTTGTTTTTTTGCTTTACTGAATTCCATGGCCTGGTAAGATTTGGCTATATGGAGGATCTGGTGTTCAGATTGTTTAGAAAATAGTGACATCATTTATACAGATTCAATAACTGGACAATGTTATCTCTAATTGGACATGTCATTTCTTTTCCTTACAAAACAATACTTCAGATCTAGAATAAATTAATGTTTGACTAATGCTTGCAAGTAATAATAAATATTTCAGTTTTACAGGATATATATCCACTGTCTTCATTTATATATATATATATATATATATATATATATATATATAT